CCACTGAGCTATTAGCGCCTTTTTTGCTCAAGAAGAAATAGGAAAGACAAGGAAAAAGAAAGAAAGAGAATAATTCGTAAACTGGGAACTGGGCTATACCAAAATTTCAAACCCAGTAAATTTTCGAAGAAAAGGACGGGATAACAGTGCTAGTGAGAACAGCTGGCATGGGTCTGCCTACATGGAAAACCATTCGGTGAAGGGGACTCTCCCATTAGAGGGCGTCCCTTTTGGGAATGGTGGAATAGGCAGGCATTCTGTGATCTCTCTGTTTTCTCTTCAGCGATGGCAGACTCTTTTCCACAGGACCCGACCCTCGATCTCTCTCTCTCTCTTCACTTCTCTTTTTGGTACGAGATGCTCTCTGACCTGTCTCTTTTCTGCTCTTGCAAAGATGGGGACACTGGACAGTTCCCTCCCTTGTTTTTGGGGTGGGGTGGAGGGGGAAAGGGGCTAAGGCTGACCTCCTCGACCGATCGATGTTCTATCGGCAATGGCACTAGTCCCTCCCTCTACCCTCCTTTCCATTTCGCTTCAATCAATCTATCCAAGATCGATGTGAGTAAGAGCTTTATGGTCTACCTCTGACAAGAACCATCACTAGGAAAACAAAAATAGAATCATTATTAGAGAGCAATGAAGAAATATAGAATTAGTTTAATTAAGTTTAAGTAAGGAATGAAAACGAAAGATTTCGAAGAAGGAATTGAACCCGAGCAACCGTCGACACGCTTTCCGCGCTCTAATCACTGAGCTATCCGGCTTCTTGTCGCCAGAGGAGAAAGAGGAAATACAAGGAGAAAGAAAAGAAATGAAGAAAGAGAAGAAAAGTCAGCGTCTATCAAAGTTATAAAAGTAACTCTTGAAACAAAAGCTAAATTCTAACTGTCCTAAAGCCTTAGCCATATCAATTCTTGGAGAAAAGAGTAAAATCAATCCCAAAAGCTTTCAGAACCCTTCTCCAGCTCATCAAATCTATTCAGATGGTCGATGTCCAACTGTAATTAATGTTCTTTTCTATGAATATCTGCATGAGAAAAGGGATTGATGACATAACCCTCTCATTGAATGACCCCAAAGAATTTCCCTTTTTCGGATGCCGACTAAAATAATCGTTGACTAGGGTTGTTTGCTCAGATCCAAGAAATCAAAAAAAAAAAAGAGAAAAAGAATACAAGTGCAAATCAGACGCAAATCAGATGCAAATCAAATGCAAATCAAATGCAAATCCAAGATGCAGTTTGGCTGATTTTTTAATAAAACAAAAATTAGGCAACCCTATTAACTGTGTGTAATTGTTGGCAATTCACTTTTCCATCTTTTGATCTCACCTTGAGATCAAGTGAATTTTCTTCTGAAAAGATTTTCCATAAATGGGAGCTCATTTTTGCATATCTGCAGATCTCTCAGCGAAAATAGAAGCTTTTTGAGAGGAGATGAGTGTGAAAAAGATCGTGAAAAAAAAAAGAAAAAGATTGAGAGTGAAAAAACCGCTTAGAGATCTTTCGATCATTTCAAATGGGTTATTGACTGGAAAAAAAAGCGATTCAATGATTTTATTTTCATCCCGAAAAGTCAGAGATGGATCGATTCCGCTATGGTTATTCTATTTGATGCTCTTTATCACCGTTGTTATTCGAATGAGAGACACTTTTGTGTAAGATTTTCTTGATTTTCTTCAAATTTGTGTTTATTTTAAAACAAATTTTGCTTAAACAGTAGCTTTGGACAACTAGACAAATAGTAGCAGAGATTAGTAGCTTGGAATTTGATTTTAGAGAGGCTCAATGGGGAAATTACTAGAAGTAAACAGTGAAAAGCACGAGTTTGGAGTGACGTTAAAAGTTAGAGTGTGTTCCTCGCGAGTAATGCGTTTTTTAAAACTCGTGATTTTTGCGTTTTTTAAAACGCATTACTAGCGCATTACTCGTTTTTTAAAAATTGGGAAAAAATTACCGTACTTTTAGCAAAAATTATTGCAAAAAAGGGGGGTAGTCAAAACAGCGCCATAATAGAAAACGTTCAAAATAGCGCCGTCAAATTTCTCACAGTCCAAAAAACCAAGCCGGTTCAAGTTTTATACCAAAAAATTCCTTGCGTTCTTGGCTACATGATGGGTGAAACAGTTTTCTAAAAAAAGTTAATATTTCACAGATAAAAAGAGCACTCAAAATGGGTCTCTAAAGATATTCAGTTAACCAACTGAGTATCACTCGACACACATTTTGAGTGCTCTTTTTATCTATGAAATATTAACTTTTTTTAGAAAACTGTTTCACCCATCATGTAGCCCAAGAACGCAAGGAATTTTTGGTATAAAACTTGAACCGGCTTGGTTTTTTGGACTGTTGGAAATTTGACGGCGCTATTTTGAACGTTTTCTATTATGGCGCTGTTTTGACTACCCCCCGCAAAAAATGACGCAAAAATCACGAGCCCGGCATTATATACGACACTTTTTAAAGATACTCAGCCGTTTAACTGATTTGGTCGGAAATCCCATCCAATGTAAAAAATGATTTTTTTTTGAAAAACCGGGAGTGGGACAAATGCGACCTTTTTTTTGCGCACCCGGGCATTTGCGCACCTTTTTTTCCGCACTTAGCCCATTATCGCACCTTTTTTCGCGTTTTAAAAAAGCTCTAAAAGCTAATAGTAAGCAATTTCTATTCCAAAAGTTGTTTTTCTAGGTAATTTTAGGGCGTAGAATCGAAATTTTGGCATATCAGAGCTTGTGGAAGCGAACGGACGGAGTTATACAAAGAGAAAAATCGACAATTTTCTGTAATTTGATCTAGCCGTTTTGTCTTTCAAATTGGTTCCACACGCTCTGTTATGTCAAAATTTGAATTCGACACCCTCAAATTACCTAGAAAAACAACTTTTGGAATAGAAATTGGTTAATATTAGCTTTTTAGAGCTTTTTTAAAACGCGAAAAAAGGTGCGCTAATGGGCAAGGTGCGGGAAAAAAGGTGCGCAAATGTGCGGGTACTCAAAAAAAAGGTCGCATTTGTCCCACTCCCAAAATTATCGCAAAAAATGACGCAAAAATGACGAGCCCCGCATTATATACGACACTTTTTAAAGATACTCAGCCGTTTAACTGATTTGGTCGGAAATCCCATCCAATGTAAAAAGTGATTTTTTTTTTTGAAAAACCTGCGCAAAAAATTGCTTTTATATTTTTTTCGCGCAGGCGCACTTTTTAGAAAACGCATTGCTCGACAATTACTCATGCAAATTTACTCGAGTAATTACTTACTCGCGAGGAATACACTCTATTAAAAGTTCCATGTTTGAAAAGTTTAAAAATTGTTCTCTCATTCTGAACAATTCAGTAAATTCAATTCAATAACTCAATCGTTTAGACTAAAAGTGTAAATTTGCTAGCTTTCTAGCGGATAACCAAAAAAAACTGTAGAAATGAACTTTACAATCTAACCAAAAGAAAAATTCTATCAATGATACAACAGCTTTTTAGAATATTTCTTCTTGAAAAACCTTTTAACTAAACATAAGACGACTCAAACGTTGAATTTTTTGACTATTTCTACAGCGATTTCCCTTACTATTGAGATCTTTAATGATTCAGAAAATAAACTAAAACTAAAAACATAAAAATATTTAGATATGAACATTTCAAAAGAATCAGCTATTTGAATCGACTTGAGGAGAAATATTATGAGAATGTGTACGTGATTTCTTTTCTTGATTTGATTTCTCTAAAAACACCAATTTTCTAGAAACAATGGATCTGTGGTTTTCGAGATAAAACATTTTTTGAGTCATTCTCAAGATTTGAATAAACAAATCATTCGCCCATTTTTATCGATGTACCCTGAATATTTGGTTGGCTGAATGTGAATGTGTCAAAACAAAAGTTCTTTTCTAGATCTCATCTCGACACAATCTTGCCGTTTGCTTGATCCCGAAAAACATGTCAACATTGATGGTTTTGATCTATTTTAAAGATTGGAATTTAAATGTAAAAAAAGATTTAGTCAAGAATATTGTGCCTGTTGAATCAATCATTGGAAGAGTCAATGGAAAATCAAACGTTAACTGCATCAACGGCTAGGTGAGTTGAATGAGAATTGCCGATACTACTAGACAAGGGGAACTTCCAAGCCGAACCTAATTCCACCTTTGTTTTCTCGGTCGATTGCTCTGAAATTTTGTCTAGAAGCTGAAAATGTCGATTTCTATCTGTAGACAAAATTTCAGAGAAATCGGCCAAGAAAACGAAGGTGGAATTAGGTTTGGATTGGAATTTTTCTATGTCTAGTATGGACAACAAGGAATTTAAATAGTGTCCAAGCAACAGAATTCAAAATAAAGCTTTCTGTTATCGCTTTCAGCTTGAAAACAGCCTGAAAACCATACTACTATTGTAAATACTAGAACTGAACACATTCAGTTCAGTTCTGTTCTGGTTCTGGAGCTGAAACCAGAACCAAACCATAGCTGAGGTCATGTCTAATAAGCACTACTCTTGTCTCTAGATTTTACCCAATCTCTTGAATCAAACATAGCAGATACTTGTCAATTTTTGTCCTTTGGATCGCCTTCTCTAAAACTTCTCTTCTCTATTTCTGCTTCTTGGCTTAAAACGCAACTATATTGGATAAAAACTAAAGACAAGAGCAGATGCATAGAATTGTTTTCATCAGTCAAAATTTTCTATATTTATGTTTCTAGACGTTGTGCCGATTCGATCCGTTACTCAACACTGAGCCAAGTACGATCAAGATTTATCGGAAAAGCCCCAGAGAATAATCTCATTCTTACGCGTGATCCTTTGGAAAGATTTCTTTCCGCGTTTATGATGCTCTGTATAATGTTTGATTCTTCTTGAAACTATCAATCAAAAATATTCAGCCGGAAAGATCCATGCTTTGGCTGTTTCAGTGATATGAGATGTGTATCGGAAAAGTTGATCGAAAATGCCGAGAGATTTTCAAGAGAAGATAGATCTGATGAGAGCAATGCTCTATGGCATATGGCACCACAAAATTGGTTTGTTGTTTTAGGGCTATAGTTAGTTAAATATGTTTTCTAAAGATTTTACCATAATTAAACCGTCAATTTTCTTTTAAGCAGCGCACTTTGATATCATTCAACCATAAAGCTCTGTCAATACTGAACTGTTTCAATGAAAACTAGCAGTTTGATTGTTTTCTAAATGATTTTTAAGATCTAAATGATCTAAATGATTTTTTTCCGAGAGGAATCCACTCTAGCTCATTGTTCGATTTTCGATTTTGATTAGTAGAGCTCGGGGAAAAATTGACTTGATTTGTAAAGTAAGGAATAAAGCCCTACCCTGGCGGCAATGGGACATTTGTCGGTGTAGCATTGGTAGAGCGTTCGCCTGGTAAGCGAGAGCTGGTGCCTGGTAAGCGAGAGCTGGTGCCTGGTAAGCGAGAGCTTTGAATCCTGGTGTCGACCATGTTAGCTCCAACTCATAAAAGGATCGGCGCATCCAACTGTGACTAATCATTCTTATCAATGGCTATTTACCATCACAGGCACTGTGATCTGAATGAAGAGACGGATTCCTATGAATTTCTCGACTATTCCTCTCTCAAAGAATCTCCATTTTTGAATTCACTGGGAAATTACTTGAGGAGATCCGATGTCGATGAGTCGATTGTTCAACGAATATTATTGGTTTCAGAAAAAAAATGTGATGATAAATGAATATTTCTAGGATATGTCTCTCGGTCATACCTCGCATCAAACAGTTCTCGATAAGAATCGAGTTTACTATGAGAAAATGGTAAAGTTTTGCCTTGCATCAAAGTAAAAACCCTTGCATCAAAATCTCTTTTATCCATTTCAGTTAATGAACTCGTCGGAAATAAAGCGAAATCTGTTATACGTTTATTTTTATGATTATGTTTTGTTTTTATATCCATTTCCAAAGATATAAAAGTATTATTTAATAAATAGTTTATTAAATAAACAAATAAATTTATACAAGTTTTATTAGTTTAACCCATTCAAAACTTCTGCAGCGAATAATCGCTGCAGCAAAAACTCAGGAATGGACCGCTGCAGCGATTATTCGCTGTAGCGCTAATTGAGCTATTTTCATTCAATTAATTGGTTTTCTTTGCTGTTTTTCAGCATTACATGTATATTCCAATTGTAACAGATCTACAAATTACGTGGGCAAAAAAGACGTGTAACAAAACACAAGACCATATAACAAATAAAAAAAATGATTCACTTTGAATTTAAAGGCTTATTACCTATTAAAGTTTCAGCACTAAATGAGCTTTATTTCCGATAATGAACCAAGAACCAATCGATCCTTTAATGAAACACTTTACTGATCAACATAGCCGACACGTTTTCGGGCATTTTGCTTGAATTTCTGGTTGAAAGCATTCAGTCCAATAAGTGGGACAAGAAGGTATCGTGTTCTTGCAATTTGATGGACCAACTAAACATTTGAATACGGTGATGAATTACCATTTCTTTTACTAAAACGACTGCCATACTACGTAGCATCACGGTAATAAATAGCTGTTAAATCTCTTGCTCTTAAATTGTAAGCCTTTCTTTAGCAAGTCTCATAGTTAGTAACTTGTCTTGTAGCTTACACGATGGTACTGGATAAGTTGGTGGAGGACATAAATGACATGTCAATCGACAGGAAGCACGAACTCCAGGGAAAGTGCAGAGATTCTGAAAATAAATAAATAGTAAGTAAGGATTTTTGTAGTTTTCAAAGGTATTTACCGTATTTTCTGTACTAGTAGTGCGCACTACTATTTTTTCAAGCCCCCTCCAGCCTGCACTACTATTACAGACTGCACTACTATTACAGAAAATACGGTATATACTTTATTCATGAAATAAAGTGACCATCTTTTAGTATCGTTTAGAAAACATTTTGCGTTGTTCTTGTGCAACTTACAGCCATAAATCGACACGTTTTCTTTGCATCTTTACATTCTTCCATAAAATAATCATCGTTTTCTTTTTCATTACCATCATCGGATTGAGTTGGGAGATATGAACATTTTGAAATCTAAAAGCATCTTAAAACTAAATCAGTAAATGATTTAAGATCACCTGTGTGAGAAGAAATACTGTGAACAAGAAAATGGATAGATTGAAATTCATAATTTGTAATCTTAAAGAAATTTTCAAATTGTTGAATAGACTAGCTGTCCCAGTCTCAATAAAGAGTGGCTTTTAAAGGTTTTTTTTTTTCAAGGCCACAAATACACAAACATTTTGTTTTCACACCTCATATGACCCAAGAAGAAGGTTGCGGTTTTGATAACGAACATCGTTAAAAAAAGAACAACAAAATAAAATTTTGTGGTGGATTGTTCACTTAAAGTTCATGAAGAAAAAGAGCCAGATCAAAGTGCTTGATCAAAGTTAGTTTTGTCGGTGATGTCATCAAAATCAAACCGTTTTGTCGGTGATGTCATCAAGAAAAAAGAATTCTGTAACGCTTATGTTGTTCAATCGTTTTAAAGTTGAACTCATCCTTAATTCTATTCGTAAAATCTAGACCTTTTTGTGAGTATCAAAAACTTGTATCAGATTAATGGATGATTTAGTGAATACCAACTGATATTATAGCTGATCCACGAGAATCTAGCGTAAGACTGGAGTAACTAGATTGTCAAATGCCTAATTGCAAAAACAATTAACAACAAAGTCAAATTCGATTCGATTCGATTCTTTTGAAGTGCTTTACTAACGTTTGCAAACTACTTGCATCCCCATTTTCATAGATACCGTATTTTCTCTAATAGTAGTGCACCGCGGTGAGCCGAGTTGGTGACTATTTGACGGTTTCCAAGCTTTTGCAGAAGCTCAACACTCAAATCCCCCACAAGATCTCACCGTCAGCTACATTTTCCGACCCCACATCGATAGGTTCTGATTCGGTATTCGGTATACCCCAATGTAATCAGTTTTTGATAGTACTCGATTCGAAAAATTCGATTGAACTTTGGAACTGTGCATCTCGAGCACAGAAATTTTGTTGAGCATCATATTTTGATTGTTTGAGAGTTGTTGTGGATGTCCCTACTCTCTGATTTTGATGTCAAATTGATACGCTTTTAAAATCAACCAAGAAGGAAGTGAGAACGTTCATTTTTCTCCGACAATACTGTTCATTCGTCGTAATACGAGCAGAAATTTTTGAAGAACAGATCCAATATTGTTGATGAGTCCCCGTCTCATCGTCTCGTTGATAACTACGTTGGTGACGATACAAATAGTTGTTGAATTTAACCGAAAACCAGTCAAGGAGAATGGATTTGACGAGTCTCTTTGTGTCTTTATCAGCTCAACTTTCCCAATCGTTGAATACTCATCTTCCTTGTATCGATTCGTTTCCTCATCGAATCGATTCCCTCATACGCCGAGTTGATTCTCCAGATTGAAATTTTCTTTCCAGGAACCAGAATTAACCAGAATTCACCAGAATTCACCAGAATTCACCAGAATTCACCAGAATCCACCAGAATCCACCAGAATCCCACGAGTCCTCTATTACCTAAAGAATAAATGTTATTAATGTATATGTTGTGTCCGATTTAGATTTCCGTCCGATTTAGATTCAATCTAAATCGGACGTCCGATTTAGATTGAACTTATCGCGGACGTCCGATTTAGATTACAGTCTATATCGGACGTCCGATTTAGACTCAATCTAAATCGGACGTCTTATATAGATTGAACAATAATATAAACATGTTTAATATATGTTCTTAAGCGTTTTTTTGCAATTTTCTGCGCTTTTCAAAGAAATTTTCAAAGAACATATGTTAAGCACGTTTATTATTGTTCGATCTGTATCGGACGTCCGATATAGACTGTAATCAATAAAAGACCTTTGAAAAATGCAGAAAACTACAGAAAACGCTTAAGAACATATATTAAGCATGTTTATATTATTGTTCAATCCATATAAGATTTAGATTGAATCTAAATCGGACGTCCGATATAGACTGTAATCTAAATCGGACGTCCGCGATAAGTTCAATCTAAATCGGACGTCCGATTTAGATTGAATCTAAATCGGACGGAAATCTAATTCGGACACAACATATAGAAAAATAGGTACTTATGGGTTATCTCCCGCCTCCCCCTGCCCCCAAAAAAGAAATCAACCGTTCAGCGGACTAAAATTTTCCCCACCAATGCTCCGCTCTGCTTCGCTGGTGCAGTTAACTGCTAATTTCGAATCACGCCAGAAGAACTCGTAGTCACAACTTTCAGATTACCCCCTTTCAAAGCTTTCATAACCGCCAACTGTATCATTCTTTTGCTTGTCGTGTTCCTCGTATTTGGAATAAGTTACCTTGTGATATTTTTTCGTCTCTGAACTATTTTAAATCCTCAATATATAAGCTCGATCTTGTAGCTCTGTCAATTTTAAATTAGTTTTTAATGTCATATATACACGTGTCTAATCGTAGTTGTGTTTGTATATCAATTATCTTTCTTCGTCTACGCTGTTCAATCTGTTTGCATTGTCACTTTTCCTTGTCGGATAAAGTATATATATAATTTCGCGCGGAGGCTAATTTAATTTCTGCTTTCGCACTGCCTGTTTACATTATTTCAGAAAATCTAGAAAATCTAGAAAATCTAGAAAACATTTTCATTCTAAAACAATTGTCATTGTTCTAATTTTTATGCAAATTTTATTACTCAATACTATCAAAAGACGTATTAAGTAATAAAATAGTAAAGTAAAGTAAAGACGTATTAAGTAAAGACTCAATCCGAAAATCAGAATGTTATATGCAAATTGATAAATTTAAATTTTTGAGTGGGGAAGATAACCCACATGTACTAAAACATAAATAAAAAAAACTTAAAACATTGCAATACTATCAAAAACTGATTACATTGGGGTATATTTATGGAAATGGGGATGCAAGTAGTTTGCATTGCACGTTTGCAATGTTTTCAAACTTTGCAAACTTTAGTAAAACACTTCAAAAGAATTTGAGCGCAAATTTAAGAAATTATTAAGAAAGGTCATCTAGGAATTTTATTGAGACTGAATGTTTTTAAATATCGAACAAAAACAGCAAACAATATTTTGTCAGAGCATTTCAAAAACAAATTTACATTTGCATTTCAATTTTTAGACGAAATGATCATAAAGCGGGCAAAATGGGGAGTGGGACAAATGCGACCTTTTTTTTGCGCACCCGGACATTTGCGCACCTTTTTTTTGCTGGAAAAGGCCTTATGCAAGGTCGTAGAGCTTCGAAAATATTTCCATATAAGGGAATCGTATGCGTAGATTCCGAATTTCGACAAATCAGACCTCGCTGACACGTCAAATTTGGGCTAAAAGGCAAAAACTGCGGAAAAGTGTTAAGTTGCGTAGTTTTTGCCTTTTAGCCCAAATTTGACGTGTCAGCGAGGTCTGATTTGTCGAAATTCTGAATCTACGCATACGATTCCCTTCTATGAAAACATTTTTGAAGCTCTACGACCTTTCCTAAGGCCTTTTCCAGCAAAAAAAAGGTGCGCAAATGTCCGGGTGCGCAAAAAAAAGATCGCATTTGTCCCACCCCCGGCAAAATGTATCATTTTTAAAAAGTTTGCCCTCCGCGAAATCAAAACTTTTTTTGGAGCATTTTCTTACTGGATAGCCCATTTCTTTAAAAAAGTTGCATCTTTCTTCAAGAATCTGTCATTTTTAATTTCGTTGTCCAAAATTTGAATAATTGCACAACAAAACAAAAAACAGAAAACGAAAAAATTGTGGTGGCTGCCGACGGGCGGTAGGGACTCCAATTTTTTTGCCTCTACCGAAAATTTTTTCTGGCTACGGGCCTGATTCCAGTAGTTGTATTTATTTTGAATTTTCTACCATCTATTTACTAATTTTATCTGTAAAGTAAAGCTAGTCGATCAAAAACTTTTATTACCAGATGTCAAGGCATTCAATTACAACTCTTTGATGTATTTGTCTGGTTGATTTAATCAAAAAAATCGTTTAGCAAATGCAAACTTTACGAATTCAGAACCAGTGACTGTTTCAAAATTCTTGACCTTCTAATCACTTCCGAACGTTTCGAAACCTCTTTTCAGCTCTACTTCTCCTTTTCACCGTATTTTGCTTCTTTTTCCCCCGAATTTCTCTCATTTCTCTACAAACAACAACGACTTTTTCTGTTCTTTTTTTCTTTTCCATAATTTTTATCCATTTTCTTTCTTAACGCTTCTCTGTGACGGTCAGTGATAGGATTCCCGCTTTTTTTTGTGCTTTTCTTTTCCCCTCGTATCCCCTACAGATCATTACTCTTTCCCTCCCTTTCCCCTAATCTTTTCTTTTTTTTTCTTTTGATCGTTCAGACTTTAGGCTACTCCCATGGAATGTTTTACACGTAATAGTAGCTTTTTTTTTTGTTTCAAACTATTTAATAGAATTTTTCGGCAATAATATCCAAAATTTGTTTAATCAGCATTGAAACCGTTTTATAATTTTTGAAAAATTTAGTCAAAATGTAATGAATTCAGATTGTAAATAAGTAGCGCACTTTTTTTTGCCCAATTGATTCAAAATTTACCATAACTATTAGGCTGTCCAGAAAGTCTTTTCGTATTTGCGTTGAAAAATAACAAATTCATCAATTAACCCATGATTTGCTCAAAAGAAAAAGTGTTTATTTTTCAATTTCCCATCTTTTTGAGTCAATTTGGGTTCACTTTCAAGCAAATTCGAGAGTGAAAACGAGTTTTTCGTGAAAACTTATAAAAACCTCTACGAAGAAATTGGTTGAATCAATTTCTCTAAAAATTTAGCTATATACATAAAATTTTTGTGCTCTATCTTTTATCTATCTTTTATCTATATATCTGCTCTATCTCTATCTTTTATCTATTAACAGCAAGATAGGTTTCCTTAGCTAAAGTGTCTAAACCGCATCATCGAGCCCTTTTTGACTACCCGTTTTGATGCTCCCAAAAAGGTCTAGACATAAGACATTTTAAATCCGTTTTAATGTTATTTTGCAGAGAAATAATTGGTATTTCTAATGAAACGAACTGTAGTTCAATTGGTGCATTTGTTGGTTTTAAACGAAAGTACGAAAAGGAACGAAAAGACTTTCTGTACAGCCTATTATAGCCAAGGAGCGTTCATCTTTTGTTACTAAATCTTTTGTTTACGCTTATTTTGTGTGAAGTTGAGTGGGAAATTACCGCATCGTTGCATTTGAGCATACCAAATTTTTATTTATTAAAATATATTTAGTATTTTAGCTGGAAATTAAATCTAATTTAATTTGAATAACTCTATGACTTCTGTTTATTGATAAACTCGGTATGCGGAAAGAGCTCACCGAGCCCACAAAATTCCCCCCAACCTTGCACTTTTCAAAAGGGTAAGTTTTTTATTTTCAACTCCTCATTTCCTCACTGTTTGTGGAATCACAAAAAGTGTCATCTATTTGTTATAGCCTCAAAAGAAAAGAAAAGGGATATCAACCCGACCGCTTTTCACTCGCACGATCAGTAAAGCTTTTTCTCTTCAAAGAGTTTCCTTGATCTTTCTTTTGCCCATATGATCTTTTTCCGGAAAGGTACAGCTGACTTTTTCAGCTTTTATGAATTCAACTTTATTCAACTTTAAACCATTCCATATTTTTGCTCACAAGTAGTCATACTTTCAAAACTACAACTTTGTTCATGAAATTTTTCAATAAATTGAAGAGAATGCAAGCCTTGAGCCTTTTAAAAAAACCAGTAGATAACCTAGATCTCTCTTCTCTTGTGGGTAATTGATTGGATTTCATTTATTTTGTAATCTGGCAATCTTTGTTTGTCATTAATTTGTGTTTCTTAAAGTGCTACTACCTCGGTGTATTTTCGCTTTACTTTATGTCTTGAATAAAGTATATAAATTTTAGTGAATGGCCTCGTCAAGTGTGCGGACGCTCGTCGATCGAGTCGCTGTTGTAACCGCTTCGACAAAGGTGTGTTAGAAAACTGTAGGTAAAGTTGTTTTTTTTGTAGGTAACTATTATTGGATTTTTTCGTTATATCCAAATTTAGTATTTCTTCTTTGTTTCCGTTTTATCCTCAAATTAGCCTGAGCAAAGCTGATTTGTGAGTTCAATCAGGTAGCAAATGCAATGCTAATTTGGAGTATAAGGTTAAAGTACTCGATCATTTTTTAAGCAATTGGATTAATCCTCTTAGCCTGTTTACCTATTGCAGTAACCTTATAAGTTTTAGGGAATTGGCTTTGCGATCGCTCGTCGCTTGGGTCTTGATGGAGCGAAGGTGATCGTGAGCAGCCGGAAGTCAAAAAATGTCGAAGTATGTGAGATATTGCGGATTTTTTGTAAATTCATTTTCTTTCGGAAAAAGTAATGTGTTCTCTCGATCATTTTTCCGTCAACACACACACCTTTCTCGTGAAAAATTTCTGGGGAGATTGTTTTGAAGTTTGAATCGAAAACTTCCTTATTTTGAAGAAGGAATCTTTTCCAAGAATTGTGCAAAAAGAAAAGGGGAATTTTAAATGGAAAGAGATTTTTTTATAAGAAATAGGCTTCTAATTCGGCTTCTATAGAATATCTAGATCATTTCAAAATAAATATGACTAGTTAGATAATAATAAGTATAAGAAAGTATATAGAAAGCTAGTGTTCTGATCTAATATAGTACCAAAAATCATATTTTAGGAAGCAGTCCTTGCCCTACAACTAGAAGGAATCGAAGCAAGCGGAGTGGTGGCACATGTTGGAAATAAAGACGATAGGAAAAGACTCTTCGACTACACGCTTGGAAAGTGAGTTACAGTTTTTTGTTGAGAGTTGGAGTAAGGTGACAAAAGTCTTGCATTCAAACTGGCTTTAAATGTACCTAGAGCTAATTTTACGATTGGAAATACAACGGTTTGCACTTCTCGCTAATAACAAGGCGCTGAAGTGCTCACTGGTATCAAAGCCGTTATTTTTAAATTAGGCAAAGCTTCAAGACTATTGTTACACTGAAGACTTTTACTGTAAAAAAAACTCTTGTCATAAACTACTTTGCAGACATGGAAAAATGGACATTTTGGTTTCGAATGCAGCAGCTAATCCGCACTACGGCGATTTGATGACGATCACCGATTCACAATGGGATAAACTGATGCAGATAAATGTTAGTTTTTTTGGTACTATGCTAAGACAGCTTAGACTAGTTCAAAAGTTTTGCTATTGCCGTGGATAATGCAACCAATATTATCGTTTTCTGTTAATTTCTGTGCTCTTTACGTGCACGTTGACGTCAACACGGGTACACAAGTGATAGGGCGATCTGGAGATCGGCAGAAAAAGATGATTTGGGGTTTCCCCCCGATCAAGAGATGAACTGATTTTTGATTTTCACACGCAAAAAGCCAATTATTTTTATAGAAAGCTAAAGCCAAAGAGAGCCAATCATTTTGAATCAAAAGGTCAAAGAAACTGAAAAATTAAAAATCTTACTGTTTTAGGTAACATCCGCTTTCCAACTAGCCCAAGAAGCAATTCCACATCTTGAAACTTCTGGCCATGGTAAGATCAATTTTACAGTTTTAAATGTAAGCAAAGAAGTGTTGATTTTTAAAATTTCTCAAGAAAATTTCATTTTCATTCAGGAAATCTCGTGTTCGTCGCTTCGGTGGCAGGATTTCAACCAATTCAAGGACTCGGCGCGTATTCGATCATGAAATCGGCATTGATTGGATTGAGCAAGAATTTGGCACTAGCTGTGGCACATCGAAATGTTAGAGTGAACGCGATTGCGCCTGGTAAGGTTTAAGCTTTTGAATAATCAAAATATAGACATTAGAAGGCCTAAAAGGCTTCGCGGTTGCAAATAAGACCTCAGCTTACTTGCCTTTATTATTTTAGAAAAGAATAAATAAGCTTACGCTTATGCAAACATCGAAGGCATATGAAAAAGCATAAAATTATCTGTTTGTGTCTTCTTATCAATTTTTATTTTAGGAATCATCCGAACGGATTTTTCAAAGACGCTCATTGAAGATCCGCTCAAACATAACGATATAATTAAAAGGATACCTTTGGGAAGAATTGGTGAAGCCGAGGAAACCGCCGGAGCTGTCTCGTTTCTTGTAAGTTTACATAAGGCACTAGTTTTGTAGTTAGTTTAGTTTTTTTTTGATAGTTCTAAAGAAATTCACTTTTTGATATAAATTGGTTAGATTCAAACTTAGCCCTAAGCGTTTTAGATAAGCTGAATCAATAGTTTGCAATACTGACAATGATTTCTGTTAAATAATTGAATTGTTAGACTTACAATTAGGAATTGGGCTTGTTCCCTTTCAAAATACATAAGAAAAGGATATTGAGCTAATTGTAAGATGCTGAACTTCCAAATCTTAACCAAAATCAAAAATCCATTTGTATTATAAATTGATCAGATCAGAGTCAAAAACAAATTCCAGGTTTCCGACGAATCTTCCTATTTGACCGGCGAAACGATCAGTGTAAATGGAGGAATGGAATCGAGAATGTAAATATTTATCCTTTTTCTTGTTAGGCATTTTGTGATTTTCCATATTTCGTTGATTAGGATAGAAAATAGGCAGCCAAATTATTTTCCGTTGTGAAAGAAAAGCAAAGATTAGTTTAGTTATTTCTGTTTTTGTTAAGTCCCAAAATACCGGTTTTTTTCCTTTCCTACTTGTACCATTTGGGTTATTTTGTTATTTTGATACCATAACGTGTATCCAATCATCAGTGTAACTTCTCAATCACTCTATTCGACTTGTGCGTAATAATTTTTGTTAGGCTTTCTCATTTGTTAATGTTTCAGGTACTTCTGCATCTTTATCCCCAGGAAGTTGATATACAAATTTTGACAAAACTATCGATTTGTTGGGATAAAGATGCAAAAGTCCGGTTTCAATATTTTCTTGAACGAACCATTGTGGATATTGGGTACTTCGACAATGTTGACTCGCTTATACAATAAAAGATTCATGATGTTTCAAAACTTGTAAAAACTTTTATGTTAAAAGACATGGCTAACAATAAAATTTTTCTTTCCAGGGTCGCATACCGGTTCTCGAGTTGCTGAGGCGTAATGCAAAATGTGGTGTTTTCCCTCGTAGAGGGAAAAATTGTTAGTTTCCTAAAGTGAATTATGAGATTTTGGAAAGATTTATTTATATTGTATTTTATTTAGAAACAGTAGAAAGATAGGCAGACTTAATAAAATAAATAGCTCCAAATGATTCCCCGAAAAGCCCCAGATACAAGCTTTTAGCTCAATATATTCTTTTTATACAAAGCAAAAGAAAAGTCACTGAAGAAAAAGGTGTTCTTTGTGTGCGCACATAATCGCTCTCCATCTGGTAAACCCCTTTGGTATAACATGCTTCCCTTTTGGAATCCGTAAAAAAGACGGAGCGGTGAGCGAGGAATTTTCTATTTTTGCTAAAATTCTCCATCCCGCTAAACCATTGCGTTAACGAAATATCAGTCAAACTGGAAGAACAATACGATCTGACCCAAGTTTTGTCCGCGATTCCTTCAGGATTGAATTGTCCATTCAACCTCCTTTTAATATCACTTGAAAATTCTCCAAATTTTCGGCCCGATCCCAGACGTTTCGTACACTGATGTGAGCTGGCCAAAAAGTATCCCAACCAAGTAAACGCATGAAAGAAAATGATGCCATTAACTTAAAAAGGGGGCGCTCTGGTACATCTAGGTGAAACCACATCTATTCCGTCTCTACTCTTTTCAATATTTTCCACCACTTAGATAGCTTCTTTCCCTTTTCTCTTTATCGGAAGCCGTTTTCTTTATAATGATGAATCTTTGTTGGGTCGGAGGGAGGGTTGAGCCTCCGAGAAGGAGACGAGGGTTCGGGCGAGGGGTGAAGGGGAGTGATCTAAAGGGGACGCTCTGGTACATCTAGGTGAAATAAGGGTATGGAAGAGAGGAGAGAGACCAATCTTTTCCTCTCTTCTTTTCGCCTCACTTCTCATAAACACAATGGTCGCAACACCATCTCGCACAACACAGCGGAGAGAGAAGAAGAGAGAGAGAAAGACTTTTCCTTTCTCTATTCTCTCTTAGAATTGAGGGCAAACTGCCAAGGGGATAGAACTCGACCCCTTTTTGTTTCCCCCCTTGGATCCATCGGTGGAATCGGACGCGCCCACACTGGCACTCTGCCAAACAAGCCATTTAGAGAACAAAGAGAAATTGGAGAGAGTAGAGAGGGAAATTTTGAGAAAAAGAGAATGGAGACAGTAGAAAGATTAGAGAAAAAGAAAATGAGAAAATAGAGAAGATTCAAGGAGAGGAAAATTCCTGAAAAAAAAAGTTATGGCTTTGGAAAAAGAGAGGTGGAAAATTTTGGGAAAACACGTGATCTTTTGGAGAATCGGATAGTTGTCAGATGGTGAGAGATTGGTGGAGAAATTGAGGAAATTGAATGTACGGGAATGAAGATAGTAGGCGAGTGATTGAAACATCGAGAAGTGGATGGATGGTTATGGGAATGATTTATGAAATGTACTCGAAAACATTTTTGAAGTGAAGTTATGAAAGGGAAACGATGCGAATTCTGTTTTTCTCCTAAAGAAGAGAAATTTGAGGGGAAATTTTATCGTAAAAAAAGGCTTGAGTTTGAAAATCTTTGGGCAATCTTTGAGTTGTCATTGTTGAAATTGTGAGTGATGGGAGTTGGTCAAGAAAATTTGAAAAAGAGGCATGTTGCTTGTTTTTTTTAAAGCAATTCACTATTTAAGGTGCAAATTTTGAATGTTATTTGAAAATTGAACTGGTTTAAAGTCCTAGAAGTACTAGAAGTACTAGAAATCAAGTCTAGAAGTACTAGAAGTACTAGAAGTACTAGAAGTACTAGAAGTACTAGAAGTACTAGAAGTACTAGAAGTACTAGAAGTACTAGGAAGTGCTAGAGAGGTACTAGAGTACTAGAGTCTAGAGTACTAGAAGTACTAGAATCAGGTACTAGAGTCTAGAGTACTGGAGTACTAGATGCTGAAGTACTAGAGTACTAGAAGTCTGGGTACTAGAGTACTAGAAATCAAGTACTAGAAGTACTAGAAGTACTAGAAGTACTAGAAGTACTAGAAGTACTAGAAGTACTAGAAGTACTAGAAGTACTAGAAGTACTAGAAATCAAGTACTAGAAGTACTAGAAATCAAGTACTAGAAGCTCGACAAAGCCACAACAATTTTTTTTCCGCCTTTTGTCTATAGAATTCTCCTTTTTCACCTTGATTGAATAAATTTTCAATTCACCAAAATGCTTTCCTCAGTGTGTTTGATCTAAAAGTTTCTAGCGAGCGAACAAAAAAAAAACATCGGAGGAAAAGCATTGAATTCAGAGGAAGAGTTTACTCTCTTCTTTGGCAAACACTCGCCTATTTTTCTTTTCGCTCTTTTCTCTTTTAAACTGACCTGAGAAGTGAAAGAAGAAGAAGAACAGATGGATGGGGAAATCTTATCTATTCAATTCGTATTTTAATTGAATAGAATAGAATAGAGTATTTTAGGGTTAATGGTATGGGTAAGCGATTGACGATCATTGAAATGATCATCAACGATCATTGAAAAGATTATTTATATATTGATTATTTCCTCAGAAATATAGATACTCAGCAATTTCATTGTTATTAATTGCTTTCTAAACACGTTTAGTGTGTAGAAAGCAGTTATTAACACAGTTAAAGTGTGTTTCTACACAAGTTTAGCCTTGTTTAGCTTTGTTTAGTCTTAGATCTTCTTTTTAGATTCTTTCTTTTTGAGTGATCTTCTTTGAAAGGCTGAATTTGATTATTTGATTTTAAAATTACATTCACACTTCACTTAGCATACGGTAGCTATGTGTCTAGCCACTTAGCATACGGTAGCTAGTTGTCTAGCCTTTATGACTTGAAGCTGACTATTGTATAAGTTTTAAATGCAAATTTGCCTATGCCTAGAAAATCCTCAAGACGCATCGGGATTACGGTAGCTTTTTTTTGGCGCCTCTTAGAAAACGCAATCATAGAAACACATTCTACCGTACTTTATTCCAAAAAACAAGCCTGAATATCTTTTTCTTTAAAGTCTACTGATCACAATAGTGTCAAAAAACCATTTCTTTAAGAATAACACTCAAAAATTTTTTAATTGAAGCAAATCCAGCCTATTTTTATGATCTCAATACGAAAATTTCACATTTAAAATGATTATCGATATCATTTCGTGGGAGATCTCTCCAATTTCCCCACCTCTTTCCCCTTTGGATTCCCCTTGGATCCCAATTACACCCATTTCCCCCCCAGCGCATCATTTCTCGTCGCCTCTTATCGCGTGTCTGATCGAGATGATTTCCAGAAAGCTTCATTCGATTTTGAGGCTTCATTTCAGAGTCGATCGATGCTCTTGATGACCGAGTGGTTAGTGCAGTTGATTGGAGGTCGATTCGATGGGACAGATGTCCGTCGATCGACGCTCGTCTCGACTTTTTGAATCCCCGACGAAGGTCACTCTAATGATTACCGTAACCAAAATTAGGCACTCTGCCAAATCCGAGTCTTAGGCCAATTCTCTTCACCAAACCAACTCTTGAATCCAAGAAGAGGTGCTTTGTTTCTCTGTACAATGGTTTGCATTTCTTTTTCTTTTTTTTTTTGCTTTTAAAGAATCAAATCGTTTATAAGTGTTTATTGATTTTTATTGCATTTCTAATTAAAGTCGAAAAAAAAAGAGTACGGTCGTGAACCAGCACTATTTACAGTATTTGGCAATTACGAAAGAAAAAAAGGATACAAAATGAGAGAATTCAAAGTAAAATTTGGATTCTATTGTAGGCAAAAGTTGAGGCTTTAAAAATATATACAGAAAGACGAGTGATTGTTACATTTTTTTTTGTTTTGTTGAAGAATTTCATATGGTTTTTTGAGTAAACGCTGAGTTGGAGATCCTTGAGTGAATCGACCACGAGACATTTGAAGGTAAACAAGTGACGGAGAAGTGACTTATTTCTAAAAATTCAATGATTAGCTCCAGTCACTATAATCGTCAAAGTCTTATATGCAAGTCTTATAGTCTTATAGTCTTATATGAAAGTCTTATATTCAAGTCTTATATTCAAGTCTTATATATAAACTTACAGCTTTTGGGGCAGCGGCCTTCTTTGGTGATTTCTTGGCTTTTTTGGCCTTTGGTTTCTTGGCAGCCTTAGGCTTTGTAGCCTTCTTGGAAACCTAAAGTCATGAATTTTCTTTAAAAGATTAGAAAATCACACTCACCTTGGCTTTCTTTACTTTTGGCGCCTTGGGCTTCGTGGCGGCTTTGGCTTTTGGCTTTGCGACGGCGGCCATTCTTCTTTCTTCGAATTGGTTAGATTGGAGCGGGGTTGAACGAGTGAGCTGTGTGTGCTCGGGCCGTCGACGAGCTCGGGGTGTGCGTCTTGCTGTCGAGGCCCCGCCCACTCTGTATCTCTCCATTCCTCTCAATATTTCTCAATTTTCCGACCCTGTCCACCTCGCTCTCCACCACCCCGTCCACCGGCTGCCCCCTTGTCTCTGACTTCTTGTCGACACGCCCCCTCATGCCTTTCCATCTCTTCACCCTCCACTAGCACTCATTCTCTAACTCTTTTCTCATACAACCCTTTCCTTGACTCTTGTCTCTATAAACTCTTGTGTTCTCTGCTTAGAGGCGGCTCCGGTTCCACCACCAGATCCAGCTCGAACATCGTGAAGACCCCGCTTCGTGTCTGCCCATTACCCTCTGCATGTCTGTCTGCGCTCTCGCTCCCATCGGGTTCGATCCCCAGCAGCGTCGATTTGTGTGCATGCTCGGCAGTCAGCCAATCGCTGGCAACGAGAGATTCGAAGTTTATGAGAGGGAAAAGGGAAAGGAAAGGATTGAAGAAGTGAAGAGTGTGGTGTCTTCCGACGCTGAATGCATCGACTCAACACAACACTAGATGCGTGCACAAACACCCACACAGAAATATGCACATCGAGTGTGAAAGAGTGAGAAGAGAGTGATGAAAAATGGAAAGGAAAAGAAAGGAAAAGAAGAAGTTCTCTGTATCGGATTATATTGAAAAAGAAGAAGACCTGGGAAATGGCTTCTGTGTATTTGTGTATGTGAAATGGCGAAGGCTGACGCTGACTTCAACTTTCAACGAAGGTTGACTTTAAGCTGACTTCAACGAGAATTTTTTGGTCCTTTAGTGAAGCTAGATCTCATGGAAATCATACTGTATCCCAAAAATGGATTCATTTGAGAAAACCAACGAAATGCTAATCCCGTAGGTGCCAACGAGTAAACAAAGCCATCTAGCCGTCGGCAATCTGAGCTAACAGGAAAACAAAATTTGTGTTTGATTTGTTTATGAATGAAAAATGAGATGTATAAAGAAAGGTTTTCAAAAGAAAGAAAGAAAGACTCTTCTTCAAAAGAAAGGTTTTGGAATATTTTCCCCTATCATTTTAGTATCTACTCTTCTCCATTAAAGTATTTAGTGATCTTTCTTTGTGATCGAAAAGTTTCTCCTCTTCTATCTCTCTTCCCAGTCCTCCCCAAGGGACATGTGACTCGGACAGCTCTCTCATTCATTTCTCTTCTCTTTCCCATTTGCATAGGAGCAGTACCCTAGGAAGAAGGCTGAAGGCTGAAGGCTATCGATTGGTGTGACGCGAGACGCGACGCTTTCCTCCCCATTGCTCTTTTCAGGAACACACAGTGCACTGTGGCTCTCTTTTTGAGAGAAGGAAAAGACAAGCTATGCGTTAAGGGTTGCAGGCAGGCAATGCAGCCAGCCCCGCCAACCCCCTCTACTCGCTGTGTTGTGAGTGCCGCCTCTCCCTCCACCCTTTCCCCCCTTTTTCAATCGATTTTTAAGGAGGGTATTGATGGTGGAAGAAGAGGGCAAGATGTATAGAGGAAAAGAAAGAGAAAGAACGAAAAAAAAAAGAGTGAGTGCTAAGAGCCACCCTCCCCACTGAAAACATCCCGTCCCCCATCGACGTATAGCAACGCCGCGAAGAAAAGAAGACGAATGAAAAAAAGAGACTGATTCAAAGAACTTTTGCGTCTTCTGGATAGGTGGAAAATTGAAAAGAAAAAGAAATGGAAGAAATGGGAAAATCTGTTGAAGAAAACAAGGCATACATGGAGATCTCGAAATTCAGACAATCAGCACTAAAGAAGTCAGCACTGCTAGCAGCAAGCAATGCTAATAATGAGAAGTGAAATGTTTTGTTTTAAAAGAATGACGTAGATTTTTTGCATTAGCTGAATCTTTGGCTATAAGGAAAATTATGCAGATTTGGCTAATAGTAAATGACAGAAATGGAAAATCTATGCGTTTACTCGACTTTTGCAATGCAATTTGTTTCTCGAAACTCATCTCATCTTCTCTTTTATTAATCTAAAATGAAATGAATAAGTATTACTGTAACTGTAACCTCTTTCAACATCTCCAAATTCCCTTTTCTCTTTTCCCAACTGCCTTGTTTACGTGAATCACTCGTGATTTCAGGGAATTCAATTTGACAATCGATTTTCTGACACCGAGAGTCTTTTTCCACGTTTGGGTTACTTTTTTTTGAGAAATTTAGGAAGTCAGAGATTTAAATAAGGATTTAAATAGGATTTAAATAAGTCAGAGATGAGTCCTGGATCTGGTACTCGTCATTTTTGGCTAATAATTGCAAGTAAACTGGAGCTATAACAAAGTGGAAACACTGAAAATATTGCAAATACTTTAAAGTATTACTAATCGATTCAACTAATCGATTCAACTAATCGATTCAACTAATCGATTCAACTAATCGATTCAACTAATCGATTCAACTAATCGATTCAACTAATCGATTCAACTAAAATGATTTCTTAGATGAAAATCTCTAATTAAAGTACTCTAAAGTACTCAAAGCACAAAGCCAAGTTAAATAAAATTCAAATCGATTTTCTTTTTTCCTCTTCACAAACGACAAGAACAACAATCAAATTGACTCAGCTTAGAATTGCTGAGTTTTATTTACGCATATGTTTTTGAGTTAACGGTAAGCAATGACACAGTAGGGGGTCATTGTGCAACTCTTTTGTCTTTGCTTCACGAAGCTGTGAAGAGACGATTGCGCGTTTTGACCTAAATAAGCCAAATTCAAAATCGTAGCCTCTACTTGTTAGCTTTAGAAATAAAAACGCAGGAATTGTCAAAGTGTAAGTTATCAACTAAAAAAAAATCAATGTATTCATTAAAGAGTCATTTGTCAAAACAAATTTGCACACACACTGCAATTTGCATTGTTCTTGCCTAGTTCGGCTTCGGGATTTCATAAATCTCTGAACAATTCTTAGTCTTGCATCTTTATCTTCTTTTATTCATCATGATTTTGTGGAGATTTGTGTTTGTTGATTGTCTTTGTCCTCATCGAATCCACCCTGGTACCTTTCATGGAATCCTCATGGTCTATTCTCTTTCCTTTTCTCTTTTCATCCAAATTTGCATCCCTTTCCCTTTACCTTCTCCCTCAATTATACCGTATTCAAAAGCTTTCCCCTTTTCTCTGATCTATTCATCTCTTTTCTATTTTGGCCTCTTTATTCCCCTTCTCTCAATCCTGACCCCACGTGATCACCCTGAAAAGAGACGCTAACAAAATAGTGTCTTTGGAGAATAATGCTTTTATAAAACCTATTGCCTATTGTATAGAAAATGAGTTAAAAATGGTAATGAGACAAAGAATTATCTAGGATTTTAGCAATCAATCATCTTTATCAGAAGAGAGCTTTTTGAATTTCAAGGATTTTATCTGAAAAATGCTGTACAAAGCCATTCGTAACAAAGCTTTTAGAGTGTTGTTTGGCCAGTGTCAAAAACTTGAAATTTAAATCTTCAAAGCTGTAAATCTACTTATGTTTTAGCTGATCAAAGCTTTCACAATTCTCCAAAAGAAGAAAGGTAGAGAAGACTTCTCTCCGATCGTTGCTTTGTTTTATTCGATGTCCGATTGTGTCTGTGGATGTCTATTTGTCTATATCTCTTTCTCTGAGGATCTAGGTGACTCTCTAAAAAGAATAAAAAAGAAAGAAAGAAAGAAAGAAAGAAGGAAAGAAAGAAGGAAAGAAAGAAGGAAAAAAGGAGAGGCAAGGGAGTGTCCTATTGTAAACACGTATGCAAATTCGGGCATAATGCCAGAAAAGAATTCTGGCGGAGAATAATGGTTGGGATGGGTTGACTCTGGAAAAGAGAAGAGAAGAGAAGAGGTATTTATTCAGAATAGAGCATATGGTCATTCAAGAATTGAGTGAGTAATGGAGAATGGGATAGAGAAGTGAATTCATACTTTTAGGATTTCAGTGAGCTTATCGAGCTTAATGTATTCTCAAGGCGTTTTCAAAAGCATCCCAGCTTTCAAAGCTACAGTTAGGGATGATTACCGAGTACTGTAAGTTAACCAGGCCAGGTCAGCTCAGACTAGGAACTGGCTTCTGGCCTTCTGGTCTGATCGGTCTTGCCTATGAGGTGGCCAGGTAAAGGCCAAAAGCCAGCCCAAGCACTGGTCAAATGTTAGGCTTGAATCTTGACTTTACCTGATCTAGACCTGAATCTTGGTTTTACCTGGTATTCGTGAAACAACCCTACCATACTCTACTTTGACTTTTATCTATCTACTTACCGTAATTTCTCGATATTTCTCCGAGAATAACATATAGATGAAGATGTTCACTGAAGAAAAGCATTGTTGATTACTTACCGTAAATACTGTAATAGTACCCCACCCCCATAATGACGGTGCGGAGTGCTGCGCAGTCTAGCTTTGAACGAGTTTTTCTCGACACTGGTTTATGCTACAATGTGCGCTACAATGTGCGCTCAATGTGCGCTACAATGCGGGTTTAGGTATCAAAAAATAGCCCTGAATTTCAGCTATTTTTTCATGCCAAAAGCGCATTTTTTGAAAGTACGGGCGCTTTGAAAAAAATGGAATACTAAAAAACTTTTGCGACTACGCGACTGTACGAGGGGGCTGGGGTACTATTACAGTATTTTTGGTATATGTTTTTGATATAATTTGTGAGCACTTGCTGAATCAGACAAAGAGTAAGGTGGATAAAAAAATAGATTCAAGACGGTAGTTCTCGAAAGTTGACATATTTTAGAAAAATGAATTTTGAGAAATACTTCAAAAAAAGAATTCAAGAAGAAACACTTCTCCTGAAAGTCCCATCTTTTATTGAACGAGTTTATTGTAGTGATAACTTCAAGAAATTTCCAAGCCCGTAATTGAAGTCAATATCAGAGAGAAAGTTTAATTTTTCCAGTAAAGCCATTTCTTTACTTCTTCCATAAGCATTGAATCACTGGCCGAAGAAGAGCAAGACTTATGATCACTTGTTTGATGCAATGGTGGATTGCAGTTGCACTAGATAATAAAGTTTAAAGGGAAAAGAAATCCGGTCTAACCTGCCAATCGCATGCGTCATTGGTTTCAACTGAACTGCAGTTACCACTTGTACTTGGACACTTTCTGGTCACTTGGCTTCCAACACAGGGGTCTTGGTATTCTGAAGGTGATATCAATGAAATCGATACTTCCAGAAAAATGCCATTTTTTCTGCCTTACCTGAGCAAATCTAGTTTCATTGAATGAAAAAAAAATAAACTGTGTTATTAAATTAGGTAGATTAAATGAATTGATTTTTCCAAGATGAATTCATTTTTCTAAACAGACAATAACAGTCTGCTATCAACATTTCTTATTCAGAAAACCCAAGAAATGTCTGAATATCTGAATCACCAATAGCTGAATGTCTAGACAAAGAAAATTCGTTTAAAAGCTTCAAACTTTTAGCGAAAACTGATTTTGTTTTCTTCAGCTTCCTACCTTGACATTTGGCCCCAGAATGACACCCGAGACAATTGCAAATCGGTTTCCCATCAACCACAACACATGTTCCATTACCGCAATCTGCTCCTGTGCAAGGATCCTCTGAAAATCAAATTCAAATCTTTTTTCAATCAATTCACATACGTGTATTATAAATGACACTCAAAGAGATTGTATCTTCCTTTTGAGTAAATGAATAAATGAAATAAAGCTCGAGCAGTCCAAAAGATTCAGTTTTGTTGATCTGATTGGTCGTATAACTGAAATAGATAAACAATATGATAAATGATATTCATCTAAGTTCCAATTTTTTTAAAAACTTACTTAGCTTGGACATTGCCACCTATGTCTTGAACGATGAGTTGAGCTTTGCCAGTCAATGTCAAATTCAACGTGTAAACGATCGGATCTCCATCGCTTGAATTTAGCTGAAATGTACGTGTACCCAAATTTTTGGGATTAATTTTTGCCTAAAATTTCTTTGAGGGTTTTTCTACAAATTTTATAGCCTCTTAAAAACGAAAACTTTCTGAAATACACAAGTTAGTCGAAAACTAGTCAGTTACCGTATTTTCTGTAATAGTAGTGCAGTCTATAATAGTAGTGCAGTCTGTAATAGTAGTGCAGGCAGGAGGGGGGTTGAAAAAATAGTAGTGCACACTACTATTACAGAAAATACGGTATTCGAAAACTAACTGACTGAAAACTATAATGATTTTACCATTTTGATACCCGATAAATTTTTTTTTTGATAAATCGATTTACTTTATCCATTTCTACATAAAAAGTTGAAATATAATAGAAATGAATAGATTAGTTTTATTGCTTGACCAAGACCAAGATCAAGATCAAGACCAAGACCAAGACCAAGATCAAGACCAAGATCAAGATCAAGACCAAGATCAAGACCAAGATCAAGACCAAGATCAAGACCAAGATCAAGATCAAGACCAAGATCAAGACCAAGACTAGACCAAGACCAAGACCAAGACCAAGGCCAAGACTAGACCAAGATCAAGACCAAGAATTTTACCTCTGTCGTACAATTGTATTCGAGACCACTTGCATAGGAGAATTGCTGCGAGGTGGAGGTGGCATTCAGTAAATTTGTTGGGCACATACTTGGACCTAAAGTGTGGTTTACGCAAACAATGCTCTTTTCTAAAATATGTCAACTTTTGAATACTACCGTAACCGTCTTTAGTTTCTATCTACAATCTATTTTATTTCTTTCATTTCACTCAAACACTCCCTTACTTGGACTTGGCACTACCGTACAAGGACTCTCCCTGAAGCACTGCAGCGTGTCAAACAATGGTTGAATATCTAAAATATAATATTAATAGCAATTAATACATCTTTCAGATTCAATTTTATCCAATTTCATAGTCACAAACTTGTCAGTGTTGCAGAATAAATGTTTTTCGTATTATTGATTTGAGCCTGCAAACCATCTGTGTTCAACTGTGCAACTAGAATTCATTCAATTATTCAGAATATAAAGTTTAAAATTCGTTTTGAAATTATAAATTAAATGAAAATAATGAAAATAAAAATAATGCAATGAAAATAATGAAATGAAAATAATGAAATGTAAATAATGAAATGAAAATAATGAAAATGAAATAAAATTTACTTGTAGCGTTGAGATTATTGAGTTGAGTGATATAGTTGTTTGATCCATTTAGATTTACACCATTGTAAAGATCGTCGAGTTCCGCTTTCAGACTAAAGATTGATGATTAGGGAATTTAAGGTATCAAGGGTTTAATTGGAAAGATAGGTTTGAAACAAGGATTGAAGAGAAATTGTCGTATTGTGTTCTAGATTTTACAGGATACAGCAGAGTTTTTATGAGACCAAAATGTCTTCTCAATCAAATTCAAATCAAAATTTTCATTTCTAATTCAAATAAAAGAATTAATTGTAGGGAAAATAGGTTTTAGTTTTAGTTTTAGTTTAAGTTTAGTTTAGTTTAGTTTAGTTTAGTTTAGTTTAGTTTAGTTTAGTTTTAGGTAAGTTTAAGCTTAGTTTAGTTTAGTTTAGTTTAGTTTAGTTTAGTTTAAGTTTAGTTTAGTTTAGTTTAGTTTAGTTTTAGGTAAGTTTAAGCTTAGTTTAGTTTAGTTTAGTTTAGTTTAGTTTAGTTTAGTTTAGTTTAGTTTGGTTTAGTTTAGTTTAGTTTAGTTTAGTTTAGTTTTAGGTAAGTTTAAGCTTAGTTTAGTTTAGTTTAGTTTAGTTTAGTTTGGTTTAGTTTAGTTTAGTTTAGTTTAGTTTTAGGTAAGTTTAAGCTTAGTTTAGTTTAGTTTAGTTTAGTTTAGTTTGGTTTAGTTTAGTTTAGTTTAGTTTAGTTTAGTTTTAGGTAAGTTTAAGCTTAGTTTAGTTTAGTTTAGTTTAGTTTAGTTTAGTTTAAGTTTAGTTTAGTTTAGTTTAGTTTAGTTTAGTTTAGTTTAGTTTAGTTTAAGTTTAGTTTAGTTTAAGTTAAGTTTAGTTTAGTTTAAAGTAATTTTTACTAGTCTAAACGCTACAATCTTAAAGATTACTTGACTTTAGTTCACTTGAATTTTACAATATTGAAACATTTCGATCAGCAGTACAATTTTTGAATTCACCATAATTCTCCAGAACACATTTTGGTAGTGTGTTTTTTAAAAGACATCACTCACATCGACACAGTGTTGTTAAGATTTGCGATCGCTCGAAGGAGATCCGTCGGATCCGTGTTATTCAATGGGATGTTCCATGTTGCTGTCGTCTGTCAATTGTTGATTTTAAAACAAAAAAAAAATAACTGACCACTCCAACTGTTGTTGTTGGGATATCTAAAAACAAAAAGGTTATAAAAATGGAAAATTATAAAAGTGGCTAGTCAATAATTCTATAGAAATGGAAAGGCTTTAGCCAATAATTTGATACTGTAAATGTCTCTGCATCTACTGTAAATCTGATAATGTACTCTTTAAACTAACTTTGCGTCGTAGTTACAGCACTAGCTGGTGCGTCTGTCGAACCAGTTTGTGGCGCTTGAGTGGCGGTTGTTGTTGTTGTTTTTGTTGTTGATGATTGGACGATTGTGCTGCCAGTTCCAGGATTTAGCGTTGTCACTGATGGATTTGTTGTGTCTGGAAGCGACAAAATGAGCTCTGGTTTTTAAGATGAGCAATGCATTAGGCTAAAGTTTGCTTTTGCCAAAAAGATTTGGTGCAATCGAAGCTAGTTAGGTTCAAACAAGTGTACTTTGAGCGTTTCAAAATCGAATCTCTTAGAGATTGTTTTGCTAATTCAGTTCTAAACATGCTACTGGATTTAGCGCACTTTTATAAGAAAGACTATTTTATCTAGATATTCTAGATAGTTTAATGATAAACCTGCAACAGTTGTAACAATTGAAGTTTTAGATTGCTGGTCACCGGTTGAAGTTGGAAGATCTGCCTTGCTTGTTGATGTTGATTGTCCATTCAATGCCTAGAAATATTTAAAAGTTTTTGAATTTATATGAAATTCTATTTAATCATAAAACATTTAAAAAATTTACCGTATTTCTTCGAATAGAAAGATAAGCTCTTATTCTTATTCTAATTCTAATTCTCATTCTTATTCTAATTCTAATTCTAATTCTAATTCTTATTCTCATTCCTATTCTAATTCTTATTCTTATTCTAATTCTCATTCTAATTCTCATTCTAATTCTCATTCTAATTCTTATTCTCATTCTTATTCTAATTCTTATTCTTATTCTAATTCTAATTCTAATTCTAATTCTAATTCTAATTCTCATTCTTATTCTAATTCTTATTCTCATTCTTATTCTAATTCTCATTCTAATTCTAATTCTTATTCTAATTCTCATTCTAATTCTCATTCTAATTCTCATTCTAATTCTTATTCTTATTCTAATTCTTATTCTCATTCTTATTCTTATTCTAATTCTTATTCTCATTCTTATTCTTAGTATAATGGTTGATGTGATCGAAAAAGTTTATCTCTATAGTCAAGTTGATGAACAAGATGAAAATGATGATGGTTTGTTTATTAAAAATGAATAAAAAGGGGAATTACCGTATTTCTTCGAATAGAAGACCGGGTAAAGAGTATCATTGCGTACTCCTGCGTAGCAGCCCTTTTTAAAATTTCTTTTCTACATATAAAGCTTTCAATCAAGTGCTATAGAGCTGGAAAATGACTCAAAAATACCACATGAGCTAACAGATTTTTGAGCCATTTTCCAGCCCTATAACACTTGATTGAAAGCTTTTATGCAGAAAAGAAATTTAAAAAAGGGCTGCTACGCAGGAGTACGCGATCATACTCTTTACCCGGTCTTCTATTCGAAAAAATACGGTATTTATTGTGCAATTTTGTTAAAATAATGATTGAAAAATAAACACATGCGTATGATATTTTAAATTAATAAAAAAAAGCGTCTTTTTTAACTTACAGAAGTGACACCATTTGGCGTCGTTGAAGGCTCCGAAGTTGTTGAATTCGGCGCATCTGTTGAAATGCCACGACACAACAAAATCACCAAAAAGGTGACTAAGTGTAGGCGCATTTGCAAGAGTCTAAAGAACCGCAATCTAAATATTAGCCTTAAAATCTTTTAGGTTAAATTACTCAAAAGTACTAAAACAGTTAAAGTCTCAAATGAAATCGGGCGTTATCTTTAACATTTTAAGTGAAATATTTACGATCTCGGTAGTCGAGGGAGCATTTTTGTTCAGAAAATCGGTTTTAGTTGTGGTTTTGGTTTGCAAAAAACCAAGCTGAACTTAAATTTATAACTTTAAACCTTTGCTAAATATAGGATTTGAATGATATTTGAGATTTCTAGAAGAGAAAGAGTTTAGACTTTTGAAAGATATTATGATCTTTTGGAAGATCTCATTGTACACTATTCGAAAGTCTAAGCTTCAAAAATTGAAACAAAATCAATCCTATTTTCGGTCGGTTTAGCCTCAACCGATTGCCAAATTTGCATTTAAAAGGAAGTTGGCTTTTTCCGAAATTAGCTAAGCTTTTTTTAGCTCAACTTTTTTGTAGACTTTATACTAATTCTAGTATAAGGAAGAAATATTCAAAAGGGGAAAAGTATTCAAAAGGGGAGAAGTAGTCAAAAGGAGAAAAGTATTTAAAAGGGGAAAAGTATTCAAAAAAAACCCTAGTAAAAGTTACGAACGATTAAAGCTCGGTACAACTCACAAAATATCCGAATTTTCAATAGAAATCGGATTGGGTTTTGATTTGAAAGTTTAAAGCTGATGAAAATCTGCTTTTTCCGAAATTAGCATTGAAGCGAATAGCTTTTTCGTAGACTTTATACTAATTCTGGTATAAGTAAGCAGTATTCAAAGGGGAAAAGTATTCAAAGGGGGAAAAGTAAAGTATTCAAAAGGAGAAAAGTATTCAAAAAAAAGCCCTAGTAAAAGTTACGAACGATTAAAGCTTTGTACAACTCACAAAATATCCGAATTTTCAATAGAAATCGGATTGGGTTTTGATTTGAAAGTTTAAAGCTGATGAAAATGAGTGTTTGCTTCAGTAAACTATAGTTAATTTGCGGTAAATCATTCAATTTTTCACAAAGAATGAGAAAAAGTGATTGAGTGATTGAGTGGCTGGTTGCGGTTGCGTCAATCCAATTTGAGTACTCTTCTGTTTCTCCTTTTTTGAATACCATTGCTCGCATTTTTCTCCTTCTTTTTCCTTATCTCAAAAAGCATATTTTCTGTAAAGAATTATGTTCTTTTTTATGGTTTTACATGGGTCTTATCACCTATTTCAAGAAGAAGAAATTTTAATGAGTCCTTTTTGTCTTTTTGCCTTTTAAACTCTTTTTATTCTCCTTCAAACTGAGACACCCATCAATGCTTCCGTTCAATTGACCCCACCCCTATATGGAATGAGAAAAAAAGAAAGAGAAAAATCAATAAATGAACTCATTTTATGAGAAACTTACCGTTTCTCGGGTTTATTTTTATATTCAATCGATATACAGTACTGAACTATCATATTTGAAAAAACACTTTCGCACTTTCGCGCGTCTGTAACTCCCCTGTCTTTACCGTATTTCTAAATATTAATACTACCATTGTGTAGCCATTGAAAAGAGCTTTCAGAAAATGTATAACACTAATAGTTTAAACTCGAAGACAAGGAAGTTTAGCCCTTTCTGATCGAAACCATCCCTTATCTTTTATTTCTTACAGACGTGCGAACGTGACGATCGTTTTTCACATATGATATTTCATGGTCCAATACTGTACCTAAGGCTTAAAGGCATAATTTCAGCTCTTCTCACCTATTCCGAAGCTCGTGATCGACGAAATATTGGACAAGGAGCTGGGTACAATCAAGGTTTGCATTGAAATTTCAAATAAAACTCAGAAAATCGGTATCTTTTTTTTAGTAAATTACAGTACTGGACAATGAAATATCATATTTGAAAAACGATCGTCACTTTCGCGCGTCTGTAACTCCCTTGTCTTTACCGTATTTCTAAATATTAATACTACCATTGTGTAGCCATTGAAAAGAGCTTTCAGAAAATGTATAACACTAATAGTTTAAACTCAAAGACAAGGGAGTTACAGACGCGCGCAAGTGACGATCGTTTTTCAAATATGATATTTCATTGTCCAGTACTGTATCTATTTTTTTTATCAGTTTTTTTTTATCAAAAGCTTCAGATCTGGATGTCCAGCCCTTAAGTTCGTGCCTTTTCCTAGTAAAAGAAGTACGTTTTTCAGTGTTACACACCAACTAGAAGTGTTTTTTTTGATGACAAAATGGTTTTCAATCTGCAAAAACTCTGAATTATTAAGAGATTTATCCAAATAGAACTCCAAAATGATACCCGAATCGCGATTCACACAAAGATGCAAAATGTAAAGAAAGAAAAATGAAATTAAAGCATTAAAGACAACAAAAAAAAATGAAAATGAGTATCACAATGAAACCGCAATTGATTCTTTGGCAAAGATTTTAATGTGAAAATTAAGAGTTAAAAGTTTTAGCCAAAAAATTGGCTTACAGAGAAATATTCTCGAATACTTTTTTTTGATTACCATAATTGAGAAAAAAACCCGTTTATTCTGTGCATGGCTTTAGCAAAAGAATAGAGGCTTTTGAATGAAGAAATTTGCATTTAAAGAAGAAAAATGTCATCTTAATTGAATATTCTCTTAACTAAAGTGTTTTCTAAAAGAAAAAAAACTAACGTATCCCGGTTGTTTTTAAAAGTTTAAACGAACAGTTGAGCCAAGACTCTCAGAAATCTTTGCCTGTTCTTTGTTTTGTTAAAACTTGTCAATTTTCACAGAAGATTTAGTGGGATACGGTAGCTAAAGAGCACTTTTTAATGCTTCACTCAAGCAGTACAGCCTCTTTCCCAGCTACAGTAGCTTCTTTAAGCCATAACCGAATTGAGAAGCATTTCCCCTTGTCGACTCCAGTCACAGCATAAATAATGTCGCAATAGAAGCCGATATTTCTCCGAGAATAACATATAGATGAAGATGTTCACTGAAGAAAAGCATTGTTGATTACTTACCGTAAATACTGTAATAGTACCCCACCCCCATAATGACGGTGCGGAGTGCTGCGCAGTCTAGCTTTGAACGAGTTTTTCTCGACACTGGTTTATGCTACAATACGTAAATAGGTATCAAAAAATAGCCCTGAATTTCAGCTATTTTTTGATACCAAAAACGCATTTTTTGAAAGTACGGGCGCTTTGAAAAAAATGGAATACTAAAAAACTTTTGCGACTACGCGACTGTACGAGGGGGCTGGGGTACTATTACAATATTTACGGTAGTCTTGTTTAGAGGTCTTGAAATAAGCTTCACCAACAGCTCTAGACTTGGCTAAGGAGAGGAGAGTTAACAAATGGATCGCACAACTCCAAGCGCTTCATCTAGCCTCCAGAGTATCGGATTCCAATTAACTTTTTTTTATTTAAAAGCCAAGACTTTAAGCTATCCAATGATACCTATCAATGATATTTTTCTAATAAAAAGTGAATCAAAAACCTTCTAAAAACTGAACGAGGCAATTCCTCGTTATCTCGTTAAGTCTCGATAATGTTTTTAACCGAATTTTTCAAAAGAAAAATACTAATGATGGGTATCATTTGATAGCTTAAAGTCTTGGTTTTAAATTTAAAAAAAGTTAATTGAAATCCGATACTCTGGAGACTAGATGAAGCGTCTGAAGTTGTGCGATCCATTTGTCTCGTTAACTCTCGTTAGCCAAGTCTAGACAGCTCAGAAGTGATGCTCGTATTGAATCAAAAAAACTCTATTCAATAAGTTTCTTTTGTTTGTTTGTCAATAAGAATTATTTTTGATTGTTCTTTGATTTTTGTGTTTCATTTGCTAAGATTTTTTTCTCTGTTTCCTTTTCTTTAAATTGTCAGCTCCGAGCCAAACTGATATTTTAGTTACTATTGTTATTATTGAATGATTTGTCTATTCTTATGCAAATGTGTTCTCCCCTGTGCTTATCCCTTTTATTGCCGAGAAGGGGCGGTCCTTAGGATTGCCTAGGAGGACAAATGAGACTCTCATTTGGAGTCCCCCCTTCCCCTTACACTCATTTGTAATCTATTCATCTTATTGTATTACTGTAAATAAAGATAAGTATCTTCCGAGTCTATGCAACTGCAGTACAGGTCGGTCATTTCACAGGGACTCCCCTCTAATACGTTGGAGGAGTTGGGTTGGGTTGTCGGGGTGTTAGAGATGGCGGGATATCAAAAAGGGATCCACTCTTTTTAACTTAACCCAAATTCTAGTCCACATCCGTTTATACCTAGGAACGTATAAAATAAAGTTCACTAACCTGAAGCGTTGATGATCACCTGAAATTTGAATTTATTTGAGTAAATCTTGAAATATTTACCGTCATATTGTTAGCGGTGACAAGCGCAGAGAAATCCTTGAAACCGAGATTCTCCATCATGTTGCAAATGAAAGCCAATGAGTTACAAGAGATGAAAAGGATCACGACGGCTACCTAAAATACAATTGAAATAGAAATATCTGAAAGTTTTGAGCGCTGATTTCTTTGGTTTAATTGAGCCAGAGCTGGTGATCGAGTCTGGCTTCCGATTGGGCCTGTTAGTTTTTGGGAATTGTGGGACATTTGATACGCGCCCGCCCCCTTTGCCATCTAACTTTAAGCTCAAATTTCTTGGTGTTGGGCTGTTCAATTTAAATAGTTTTTATACCAATCGACAGAGAAAGACTTGGCGCATCTAATGATATCAAGAATATTGAAATTGAACAGCTCAACACTAAGATATTTAAGCTTAAAGTTAGATTGCTAATGGGAAAAGGGGTGGGGCGGATATAATAGGCTGCGAGATGCGCGCCCCGCCCCCTTCGCCCTTGGCAATCCAACTTTGGGCTCAAATTTCTTGGTGTTGGGCTGTTCAATTTAAATAGTTTTTGTACCAATCGACAGAGAAAGACTTGGTGCATCCAATGATATTAGGAATATTTCAATTGAACAAACCAAAGCCAAGATATTTGAGCTTAAAGTTAGATTGCTAATGGGAAAAGGGGTGGTGTGCGTATCAAATGTTCGATAAGGATTTTTGGGTCAAATCTTGGCCAAAGTTAGATGGAAAAGTAGGCGAGCGCGTATCAAATGTCCCACAATTCCCAAAAGCTAGCAGACCCAATCGGAAGCCATTTTTGGGTTGAGCAAAAATGTCTTTAGAAATATGATTCAAATCCCTAATCGATATGCTTGCTTGCTTTTAAGTAAATGAATAAATCTCCATTACTCACCAGCATGATTGAAGTCTGTCGTTCTTTCCTTTCAGCTTTCCTTGACATCTCATCACTTTCACCACCACACTAAAAGAAATTACATTGCACAATTACAGTATTATGAGCTTTAGGCTCAGACCTTTTGATGACTTTTGGTTATTTACAAAGAAATGTTCTTCTAAACACACATTTTTTAAACTATAAAATTGTATCGGGTCAGGATTAAGCTGAAAATATGGCACAGCATAATCGCCTATCTAAGAAATATACAATTTGATTTGAATTTGAAATTGGAAAGCGGTAGCTTAATTTCCGGCAAAGATAAATACTTTTATGTGATCGGAGGTTTTTAGTGATCCTTTTCTAGTGAGGTTTTTAGTGATCCTGACACACACCTTTTCCTCTCTTACTTGAAGGTTAGTTTACGCAAAGAAAAAGAAATTTTGGTATTCAAATAACATAAAAGGTTCTTTGAAAGCTTTTTTTGGAACATAGCTGACTTTTTTTTGCAAGAAGGTGAGGCTCATTTCATGGAGCGTGCTAGAATTGAACTTACAATTCACCCAAAATCCATTACTTTCCATTTGATCATAACCGGCAATCTCACAAGGCAAAAAAGCTTCTTAAGCCTCAAAAAAACACTATCTTTAATGCTAAACATAAAAAGAGCACTTAAAAACAAGAATTTCAACTAGTGTAACAGTGTTAAAAAGGTGATTTCTATGACTAAAAACTTTCGAACAAATAAAGCCGATCGAGTCTGGCTTCCGATTGGGTCTGTTAGTTTTTTGGGGATTGTGGGACATTTGATACGCGCCCTTTGCCATCTAACTTTAAGCTTAAATTTCTTGGTGTTGGGCTGTTCAATTTAAATAGTTTTTGTACCAATCGACAGAGAAAGACTTGGCGCATCTGATGATATCAAGAAGATTCAAATTGAATAGCCCAACACTCAGATATTTAAGCGTAAAGTTAGCTTTGCCGGAAATTAAACTACCGTTTTCAAATTCAGTTTTAAAGTCTGTACAGAAACTTTTGAAACACCTTATAGATAATAATTCGCAAGTTAATTTGTTTAATTTTTATTTACCATATGTGCTCGTCGACTTTTCCTCACAGCGTGGAGAACCATCGAGTTGAAACCGATCAAAAGAGTGAATGGAACAACGAACATGAGGATTGTCAGAGCCCATCCATGGAAAATCTGTGATGGAAAATTGAATTCAACAATTGTACAATGTAAAAGAGTGAAATGAAACAAACCATTAAGTACGTTTCATTGTGTCTCAATTCAGTCATCATCAAATGCGGCATATAGTAATTGATATTGATTCGATAGCATACATTTGAGACACGTACCTGAAAAGGAAGCTTTGAAATCATGAAAAGAAAGCTTTGAAGTCTTTTAAATATATGTTATGTATATGATTTAGATTTTCATCCGATTTAGACTCAATCTAAGACAGATTTAGATTTAGATTTTGAGTCTAAATCGGACGTCCGTTTTAGACTTAATCTAAAACAAACGTCTGATTTAGATTTGGAGTCTAAATCAGACGTCCGTTTTAGACTTAATCTAAATCAGACGTCCGATTTAGACTCCAAATCTAAATCAAATAAAACTCTAAATCGAAAATAACATATATATTAGGTTGGTGCAAAAGAAATTTCGGTCGATATAAAATGTTCTTATTTTTTTAATCTGAAGAACTTATTTGATGTTCTTTTGTGCATTTGTACTCTTGGATATTTACTTTATTTTCGCATTTTTTCAAAGTCAGAGCTTTCACTTTTTAATTGATTTTTGCTTTAGATCATGGTGGATCAAAAGTATGTTCTGCGCACGTGCCTTCTCTATGACTTCAAAATGGGCAAAAACGCTGCTGATTCACATCGTGATCTCTGTTCCGCCTTTGGAGAACAGGTTATCACCGAAAGATCACGCCAGCTCTGGTTTGCCCAATTCCGAGATGGTAATGAATCCCTTGAAGACGAATCGCATGGACATCGTGCCACAGCCATCGACAACAATGAATTGAAGCTGATCCAATGCAAACAACACGAGAGCTTGCCAAACATCTCCAATTCAACAATTGTACGCCATTTGGAAATAACTGGAAAGACAAATCGTAATGGACAATGGGTTCCACATCAATTGAGTGTTGAGAATCTGGGAGCACGCGTTCCGATCAGCCATATCTTGCTCCAGAAGTCGAAAAGAAGCCATTTTTTTTGAGAATATCTTGACGATGGATGAGAAGTGGATTCACTTTGATAATACTTCTCGAAAAAGACAATGGCTGAGCAAAGGTCAAGCGCCAATTCCAACTCCAAAGCCGGATTATCATGGGCGCAAAGTGATGTTGTCTTGCTGGTGGAATATCAATGGACTTGTTCATTTTGAATTATTAGAGCCCGGAAAAACAGTCGATTCATCTTATTTTATTCAACAACTCAAGAAGGTTTACGAAATTTTGCGTGAAAAAGGCCTAAATCCCTCAACTATCAACTTTCTCCGTGATAATGCTCCAGCTCACACGGCAAAAACCTCTTGTAAGGAACTAGAGAAGCTAGGATGGAAGGTCTTACCACATGCGCCGTATAGTCCAGACTTAGAACCCTCCGATTTTCACCTTTTCAGATCGATGCAACATTCCCTTGAGAATTGCCAGTTTAAGAATGCAAAAGAAGTCGAAAATTGGGTGACCAACTACTTTGCATCACAGAATCAAGCGTTCTTTGAGAAGGGGATCCGCAATCTGTAGCAACGTTGGAGGGATGTCATAGATAATAATGGTGCTTATTGTTTTAAATAAATTGTTATCAAAAAAAATTTTGGATGACTTTAATGTTTGTAAAAAAACGAAATTTCATTTGCACCAACCTAGTATGCTAATGATCTAATCTAAATCTATTCTTTTAAAAAAGTAAAGAAAAAAAAGTTTTTGCTAGTTAAAAGGTTTCCAAAAGCTCTAATGTTTCCTACAAACCTCGAAAAAGCGACTGATATTAAAAAGAATCGAAAAGATGATGATTCCGAGTATGAAATGAGCAACTCTTTCTGAAAATCGATTGTTTTATCCTCTTGCTGATTCACAAACTTTTAGGCAATAGTTGTGGTGCTTTATATGGGTGACAGACACCAATATATCGATGAACAGAGACACCAACTGTCAAATAAACACTAAATGATTTGATGAATAAAAGGATTTCTTTTCTTCTGAACCTCATTGTCTGTCCCATTGTCATCAAACCGAACATGATCGGAGCTATCATGTAACTGAAATAGAAACATTTGTATGAGGATTTGGCTTTGAATGAACAATTGATCTTTATCTAATTTATTCTACTAATTTGCATATAATGTATAACAATATAACGTTTTTACCTTTAAACTTTGTGAGGTTAAAATTGAGAATTATCAAACGAGTAAAGCTATTTGAAAACCAAACCAGCCAAACAAGGCTAAGACAAAGTCTGGCTTAAGCTTACAGATCCTAAAGCTTAGGTTCGACCCAGAAAAGTACTGGAGATGCCAGAATTTAGGGTGTGATCTAGCTAATAGTATCTAATATTCTAATCGTCTAATAATCAATCTATTGGGTTAGTGAATTGAAAACTGCGGGACTTTGAGCTAAAATTTATTCAACATAAAACCATGAATTCATTCCAAATAATTTCCATTATTATTGACGACTTCTGCCCATTTTACAGGCAATTTGCGGATTCCTCTTTAGTGGTAGCCAATTCGGTTTGTGTGTGAGACAAGGGTGAGACTCAAAAATGGAGGACTGGAGATGTCCCAGTTTGAGCATTTGAGCACTTTCTTCAAAAGAAACCCATTTTGGTGTCAATAGAAAAGTTGTAGAGAATCAAAAATCAGGCTTATAGCCAAATTTCCAAAAAGATACACTTAGTAGTTTCGCTTAAAATGCAAGTTTTGTGAAAATTCGTAAATTTGGCATTTCTTGAAAACTAGGTTTTGAATCGTTCTAAAAATTTGGATATAACCTTACTTTTTGATTCTCTACAACTTTTCCATTAACACCAAAATGGGTTTCTTTTGAAGAAAGTGCTCAAAATGTCACATATGACAATAGCCCGCAGTTTTCAATTCACCAACCCAATAATTACCTTTTTTTACCTTTTTTTGTAAACTTTGTGAGGTTAAAATCGAGAATTATCAAACGAGTAAAGCTGTTTTAAAAGCAAACCAACCAAACAAGGCTAAGACAAAGTCTGGCTTAAGCTTACAGATCCTAAGGCTTAGGTTCGACCCAGAAAAGTACTGGAGATGCCAGAATTTAGGGCACGATCTCGCTAATAGTATCTAATAGTATCTAATAGTATCTAATAGTCTAATCGTGTAATAAACAATCTAATAGTAAGGCCTGGTGAATTCGAATATCCCTACGATCATTTCTTTTACCTCCAATACGCCGCATTCCATGTCAACAAGTATTCGCCCAGCCTCGGCATACTCAACACACAAAAAGAGGCGATCAAAATGATCGTATCCGATGCGGACATTGCCGCGAGATACCAATTGATCGATGATGTTGACATTAGTCTGAGAATTCATTCTTAGAGCTCGACAATTTATAGTTACCTATGTGTGAAGATTCGAACGCTTGTCAAATTTGCGCAAATCCCGAAGGCCATGATGGGAAGAGCGAGAAGACCTGAAGTTTATGGGAAATAATAAGATCTACATTTCAAGTTTTACCCAATACAACTCGATCCTCGTAATCATAATATTGATATTGATAGTGACAGTCACAGGAAATATTGAATTGACTGCAATCATTGTCTCCCATTTTTGAGGAAATGGGAAAAGAGGGGCGATAAGCAGTGGAAACTAGTCGATGTCCAGGTTTCTGAGAATTGAATCTTGAGAAGAGAATGATTTTCGAAGAAACTGAAGAAAGAAACTGGATATTTTAAGAATTGAATAAACTTTAGAAGACTTTTCAAATCTGATCTGACTTTTCAAACAATTTTATATAATCCTGTAAGATTTTCAAAGAAATTTCAAGCTTTTCATTGACACTTTAGGATTTTTCAAGACTGAGAAGCTTAAGATGCCAAGCTCGAGTCAAATTGGTTGAGTTCTCTCAAAAATGCTTGCTTGCTTGAGCTTTTAAAGCTTAATTATCTTCTAGAAAGTCTTAGAATTACAAAATTTCATTGGAAAATCGATTTCACCCATACAATAATCGGATTCTACACAGATTCACAAATAACAAACTTTGATTTAAAATTCCTTTCCAAAGCTTAAAAAAATTCAAAAAGGTGTTGATGGAAAGAGAAGAAAGATGTGTCTTCTAATCGGACGTCTGATTTAGACTCAAAATCTAAATTGGACGTCTGTTTTAGATTGAGTTTAAATCGGATGAAAATCTAAATCGGACATAACCTATATATGCTAATGATCTAAGCTAACTCTATTCTTTTAAAAATTAAATGAAATAACCGGATTCTACACAGATTCACAAATAACAAACTTTCATTCAAAACTCCTTTCCAAAGCTCAAAGAAATTCAAAAAGGTGTTGATGGAAAGAGAAGAAAGATGTGTCTTCTAATCTATCTACTTCATCAAGCGATTTGTCGACCATTGATGTGGAGAAAAGTGAGGGAAAGAAAAGAAGAGGAAGGAAAGAAGAGGAAGGAAAGAAGAGGAAAAGGAGGAGAAGGAAATGGACAGTTGTTGATGAGTGAAGAGCATGAGATATCACGTCTTTCTTTTTCCTTTTTTTCTTTCATTTAGATCATCTATCACCTCAACGAGGCAAGGATTCTGATTGAGTAAAGATAGAAAGAGGAAAGTTCAAAGAGAAGTTATTTACGAGAAAACAACGGTGGTATGTGGGATTTTCTAAAAGCCAGGCTTGGGCTTGGCCGCCTGTTAGGACTCTGGCTCTGGATTGCCCATGGTCTAAAAATTACCGAGCAGGTCAAGAACCTGGCCAGCACATGGTTTGAGCTAGTTTTACTGATAGCCTAATCCTGGCCAAACCAGTCTAAGACACTGATCTTAAGCCATATGCCTAATCCTGGCCTTACTGTCTGACTGATTTTAGCTCAAAGTCAGCCTTACTCGAGTCAGCCTGGACAATAGCTGATTCTAACCTTTCATTGACTAGGTTCAGGTTTATCTAGATTTTTGAAAATCCTTGATAATTGATAACCTCTTTTTAGGCTTACAGTTTTCATATAAATATTGGGTTGGGAGAATGAGTCGGCGCCGAAAATGAAAAATGTCAAAACTTCTATTCGCTCGCAAGCGTTGATAGAGTATGGTTAACTAATCTCTCTGACTTTAAGAAAATTCAAACAGCGCCTCCGCTCAGAACCATTTTTCACAAAACTACAAACTGTGATCTAGAAACCTTGGTGGGTCTTCCCTGCAATTTGGCACTAGTTTCATGTGCTCTATCTTTTTTATACCCAAAGAGGTTTATGTGAAAGAACTGTTCAAATGTGGTCGGACTCTTTGCCATTTTAACCAGCTGGTTTGAGTTCATAACTCCACGAAGGCTTTGTGGATCTCCAAAGTCATTTTGTAGAGAATAGTGGATCCTTTGTGAACCAACGTGTTTAAGGGCTTTATGTGTCAAAGTCCCTTTAGTTTGGCGCCGCTCTTCTCCCCACCCATAGCTAAACAATGTAAGATTGTTAAGAAATACTTTCCAAAAAAGCTTCGAATAAACCCCATAGACTCGTTTAAAGTTTCATTGACCAAAGAGTTGGCCAATGAAACTTTAATAATTCAAAAAGGAGACCAAATCGGGGGATTTTTTTATGAAAGTTTACACGTTTTTCTTTTTTTTGTTCATTTGTTTTTGGAAATGAGAAGAGAAATGAACATTGAAAGAGCTAAAGGAAAAAGAAAAGAAAAAACTCGACTCAACTTTCAGCAACAGATAGAATAGAGAAAAGAGGACGAAAACAGAAGGGGATTCATTCTTTTTTGGGTTTTAGGGAAAAGAAAAGAGAAGAAAAAGGTTGAGACTTTGGTGAGTGATTGTCCCTAGAGAGGGGAAAGGGGATTGGGAATGGACAGAGGAAAGGAGGCAAGCTGAAACGAGTTGAATCTAAATAGGTAGTGAAAGAGATCGACAACGATATAATGACCGATTTGGATTGGAGTATTCAGCCAGAGAAAGTCAGGTTTTGATCGTGCCCATTCCTGGTTTTACTACTACTACGGGAAGAACCCAGGCTCCAGCTTTGGCCTGGCTTTGCCACTAACCTAGCTTTCATTGCTTTATGGAAAGATTGCAGATCTTGAAGCCTTAGTCCAGAAATCCTGGTCAAGTCAGCAAAATCTAGCTCAATCGTCTTGTTCCCAAAAATCTCATAGTCAGAATTGGAGAAGGGTCCAGGTGAGGGATTGTCCCAAGGGAATCAGATCTAGTTGAAAAGAAAAGAGAAAAGAAAAAAAGACAAAATGGGAAACATAAAAGAGACTCCTTTTCCCCCCAATCCTCCTTCTCACTCTCACTGAAACTTCCCAAGATTTCCTTGTCGAAAAGAAATTCAAAACTTGTAAGAACTTCTTTTGAAAGAGAAAAGTTTTCAAGAAAACAACATTTGAGTTTTTTTTTGGAAAAGCTTGTTTACAAGAAGATAGCAGATATTGGAAAAGATGTAAAATTTTGAATTAATCGATGGCAATATGGATGAAATGGGTGAAAATGAGGATTTGAAGACATAAAAATAAAGATAGATACTTGAGGATCAATTTAATTTCGATATAAACTACTAGCATTGTTGTCTTTGTTTGAAAATCATTGTCTAAAAGGCTTGTAAGCAAGATATCAAGCTGTGGAAAGAATATTGAGATTGATTAAATATGCAATAATATTAAGAATGGTAAAGAAAGATTCATATAAGTTTAGATAGTTTTGAAAGCTTTATTAGCTTTATTAGCTTTATTAGGTTTATTAGCTTTATTAGCTTTATTAGGTTTATTAGCTTTATTAGCTTTATTAGGTTTATTAGCTTTATTAGCTTTATTGGCTTTATTGGCTTTATTGGCTTTATTAGCTCTATTAGCTTTATTCAATTCTTAATATGCTTTCCTATTCATTTCAATTTCATTTTCAATTTCATAGTCATTTCATATTCAAAGTTGATCCTTTGTAGGCACGTAGCCAAACGAAAATTCACAAGTATCCAAAATATTCTTAGATAAAGCTAACACCGAGATAAGTATTGGTCACCTAATTCTTATTAATGCTTAAATTAACATTGAATCTGAAAAAGATTGTCAAATGACCCGGAAGCAAATTGAATCAAGAGTTTTTCAAAAAAGAAGGAGAATGGAGTTTGAAGGGACACACTTTAAGAATTGAAAAATAAGAGGGGAAAGGTGAGGAAAAGTGAGGAAAAGTGAGGAAAAGTGAGGAAAGGTGTTTTGAAGGAACACAAGCATAAAAAAGAAGGGACAAGAAAAAGAAATGGGCACAAATGGGGTTAAACGGAGGAATGGAGGGACGGAAGCGGCCACTCAAAAATATGGAATATGCTCTGTCTCTTCGATAAAAAGACAATCGGCTTCTTTTCTCTTTTACATCAAATCTTTTCATTTCTTTTTCTTTTATCCTCGTCATTCGTTCAACTGGAAGAACTCTTTTTTTCTGGTTTTTTTGATGAAAGGGGAAAGCATTTTTTTGATTTCCTTTCCATTTTTGAACAAAATTCAATGGACTTTTTATGGCTTTAAATTACTTTGAAAAGAATGAAATAACGTTTCTCTAAAGAAACTTGCAAAAAGCTCAACAATTTGACTCCATTAGTTTTAAAATTGAAGGACTAGATCTACTGGATTACCTGGATTACCTGGAACTCTTTTTTTCTGGTTTTTTGATTTCCTTTCCATTTTTGAACTAAATTCAATGGACTTTTTATAGCTGTAAATTACTTTGAAAAGAATAAAATAACATTTTTCGAAAGAAACGTGACAAAAAGCTCAACAATTTCACTCCATTAGTTTAAAAATTGAAGGACTAGAGATCTACTCCTGGATTATCTTCAAGCATTAAATGTCATTAAATAGCTTCAGAATATCAGAACTGTTTAGATAGCAAATTTTAGAATAAATCAAATTTAGTTTTAAAGGGGTTTTAGATTTTAGAAGAATCAGTTAAGGTTTTAAAATTTTTAAATAATCTTAATAAGAAATGAATTGACTTTAAAATAAAAAGAATTTCTTTCTTTCTTTCTTTTTTTTCTTTCTTTCTTTCTTTCTTTCTTTCTTTCTTTCTTTTCTTTCTTTCTTTCTTTTCTTTTCTTTCTTTCTTTCTTTCTTTCTTCCTTTTTAGTTTGCCTTGTCTTAATCCAATCATTCAAAAATGGAAATGAAACATGAAAAGAATTTTTTTTTTAATTTTTTGGTGGATTTTATTTTAAGAGATCTTTTTTTGAGAAAAATTGGCATCAAAATTGGCATCAAAATTCAAATGTGATGAATTTGATGATTATTTGATGATTGAACAAGATTCCGCTTGAATTGAGGTCATTAAAATGACAAAAATTGGATATTTGATGAAAAAGATTAAAGAATGATTGAAGAAAGTAGCTTTAGAGATTTCAAATAAAAACCCCAACCAATTCGCAAATAAACAAAAAACCCCTCGAAAAGTACCGTAATTCTGTCTTTTTTTTAATCTTTTGAGCGTCCTTTACTAATCACAAAAGCAAAAATTAGCAAAAATTAAAGCAAAACAGGCACAGACCAGCACAAAGATTACGATAGCTTTCAAAAATTGATAAGTTTTAGCAAAAAAACAGAACAAAGTTTCCATTAAAAC